GGACACGAGGAAGGAGAGAGAGAGGATACAGGGACACGAGGCAGGAGAGAGAGGATACAGGGACACGAGGCAGGAGAGAGAGGGGGGGGATGAGAGTGTGAGAAGGGGGGGACACAGACGAGAGAGAGTGTGAGAAGGGGTAGACACAAGGACAACAGAGAGAGGAAAAAAAAAAAAAAAGAGACAGATAAAGACACAAAAGAAAAGGAGAGGGAGAGACACACGACACTGAGAAAGACACACAAATGAGACAGAGACACACACACACAAACAGTGGAAATGTTGGGTAGACATTACCTCTTTATGTATGGGCCGCTCTGCCCCGGGGCCCTCTGCTGCTGTCCGTTGAGCTGTCGTGGCTGTTTAGAAACAACGTCTTCATCACTATCCCTGTTCCCCCACGCCTTCTTATACACCTCTCCAAATTCAAAACTCTTTGATCTGCGACAAAGCAACAAAAAGGTTGTAAAAGCCACTGAAAAGGGAGAAACCAAGAAACAGCATGACACAAGATGGTGCAACTAAAACTAAAAGACACAACCTTAAGAACTTTATGAGCCACATACGAAACCTGAAAGCCATAGAGCTTTACGTATTCGAATAATGCAAAACTTATTTCCCAGCTGCATGTAATCTCATATCGGTTGTTTCAATGTTCCCTAGTTTTAACCCCTTATTACACATAAAGGCGAGGGACAGACAATGTTTTTTTTAAACCACTAGCCCACACATAAGCTCATCCACATCAGGTTGATTATTTTTCGCATCTTAAAAAAGATCCAGATTTAAGTTGAATCTTCTCATAGGGTAAAGGCGCACACTAGAGAGCTATCCCACATGTCAGCGGTGAGAACCCACAATGCCTTGGATGCTATGATCAGACCAACACAAGAAGGTCCAGAGCTGATTGTTCTGTGCAGCAGAATTTGAGAAATGAAACCTTGGACAGACCTCAGTGTGATCAGCCTGTTACATACTATAGCAGCATTCAATATCTTTCTACCATCAAGTGATGAGGCAAAGTCACTGATATGGTGTATTCTCACTAAAAGGAAAAAAACGTGAAGTCAGTAAGGTTTCATTGTCACCGGCCTAGAACAAGCATGGAAATCAGGAGTTCAGACCATTATATGGCTTCACTATCTCCAGGTTCACCTCACCGCTCCCTATCAATGATTTGGAAAGGACTGAAGCCTCAGCCAGCCAGACAACTAGCATTTTTAGGAGGTCAGTAATGGCGGACCCCATATTTCTCTCATTGCAGGTTTTCTTTAACAAGCTCTGCCTTGCAATGCTCGTCTCCACTTCAGCACTAACTAGTCAGTATGCTGGCCATACACTGGTCCAATATCGGTAAAGAGTCTTGCTGACCACAATTCGACCAGTGTGTGGCCCATTTGACTTTTGTCCAAAGAGCCGTTCTGAAAATTCTCAGCCGAACAGTAACTGCAGGCATTCAGATGTAGTCACTCTCGGGGTATTCGGACAGCAGTGCACCCTACAACAGCCCAGTGGGGGGGGGCTTTCCCATCCACACGAAGAAAAAAAAAGCAATATTTATCACTGTATATGCAGCCAGACTGTATTAAAGTAATAAATCAAAAGGGTTTCAATTGGGATTTAAGACACATTTTCTCCTGACACTTTCTAATGTGGTATATAGAAGGCTGTGCATGGATAGCCAATATATGGTTATATAGAAAAAAATGTTCTCTTTGCTGTCTGTCCATAGCGACCATTCAACATGGGAAGGAAAATAAACGGCTCGGACACAATTCTATAAAAGCTTTAACACTTTTTGATATTAGGGCTTATATACAAAAAATCCTCAATGAGAAGGATCAGATTTTCATGAGCCTGTGCATGTGGATTTATCCCATCTGCAGGATTTCCTACAATTTATGAATCGTGATCCTTGAGATTGCACAAATAAAAGTAATGAATCTGTAATTCATATAAATAATGGCTATTCAAAATGGCTTTCACACAGTGAAAGGTTGGGGACCTCTGACCCAGGGGGGGTATAAGCATGCAGGCCAGCTTCTCATAGCTGGGTAACCACAGACTGACATTTTCACACCAACCTGAGACGGTACTTCAGCCTCCTAAGACATCTTCTGGTTAGGAAGCAGAATGGAGAGATGAGGAAAAAAAGACTAGTAAAGTAATCATGACAAATGATTTTTGGAGCACTGCAGCCTGGTATTAAATGATTTGTTAGCCAGTTTTCTTTATAAAGAAACTTAAAAAAACAGATTGAAATGGAACTATGCCGTCATGCTTAAAACATTCTTTACACTGAACATCTAACTGCTACACAAGCAATGTTCAATCTAATGTGACTAAAAATGACCCATTTCAATCTACAGCCAGTTACAGTATTCTGAAAAGGACAGAAAATGCAAACGTTTCCGATTAGCTCACTGTCCTGCTCAATAGTCTTTATTAGAACACCAAGATTGGTCAGGTGATGATGACAGGCAGACCCTCCCACTAAGCACTCAGGAAGAAGTGACTGGAATGCATTTGTCAGTATTCACAGAGTAGAGACAATCAGGGCTCTGAAATTACATTTGCTAAAATTCTTGCAATATACATAACGGACTGAAAGGATTAAAACAGTAATATGGATGCAGCGGACCAAGGGCCATTTCAAATTGCGATAGCCAATAGCAGGCTGGCTTATTGTGCTCTCCCACTGAGCAGAGGCGCGGACCTAAAGGTGCCCATACATTGCTCGATTCTCGTACGAGAATCGGGCGAAATCCCGCGATCGTACGAGAATCGAGCAGTGTGAACTAAGACGTGCGACCGTTTCTACTGTACGCAATTGGAAGATTCTACTGTACGGTCGCACGTCTTTTGTCGAGCCAACATGTTCGAAAACCCGCCGAGAATCGTACGATTGTCGGCAGGTTTCTAGCCTGCTCGCCCGATAGCTGCGGAACGGGCCGGTGTGCGCACGCGCACACTGCCCGTTCTGCATTGCCGTCATCGGAAGCCCGCCCCTCAGCGGGGCGGGCTTTCGATGATCGCAAGTACGATCTGCCCGTCCAAGGTGGGCAGATCGTACGGGCTTTCAAGAAGCATACGATCATTGCAAGACAAAATTCTTGCGATGGTCGTAAGGTGTATGGGCACCTTAAGAGAGAAAATTCTCTCTCAGGTCCGCTTCTCTGCTCAGTGGGTGGGGTTTAAATAGCCAGCCTGCTATTGGCTATTGCAATTTGTTACTATTAACTCTCAAGCAACCAGAAACTACAGTTATGCGGCACCTACCCATCCCCTTGCTTGCCAAATAACAGGGAATTTACTGTATACAGTATATACACACACACACATATATTCTTTAAAAATAAAAGAAGGTTCAGCTACGGCAAACATGCTTATAGTTAAAGTGACATTAAAGTCACATTTCCTCCCCCCAATGATGCTTTAAGGACTTACCTTAAATGATGCCTCTTTATCCGATCATCTGCTTCTTCTTTCTAGTAGTTCTTAGGAGTCCCTCCAGCGCTGGTGCCGGTCTGTGATCCAGTGCAGACTCCACGGGTCCCACTGTCTGTCCGCGTGCACGCTGCTGGCTGCGGCCTGCATTGACTCACCCTGTGTCTCTTCTCTTCTCCCCGCCGAAGTTCTCTACTGCACATGCGCCCGCCCCAAGATCCTTCACAGCCTGTCATATATTGTGGGTATTCCTAGGTAAACTGAGCCAGGAGCCCCGATGCTGGGCTTATCTAAACACATTTTCTGAAGTTGCAACCAACTGGGACAAAGCCGTCCTCTTCCAGGGCTCTGTGCGTTCATGAAAGGGATGGGCATTTTGTGATGTTAAATGTCTGTATTAGATGTAGCTTGGCTTGTCCCTGGCCAGGGTACCTCTGATCCATACACCAAACATTACAAGCAATCCGTCACATGCTGCTGGAAAAAGGAAGCATTGCTGGCACTACAATAGTGTTGGACATGCATTTGGTAATCTCACCAGTAGGGTCCATTTGTGTAACAGCGTGGTTCTGTTAATTCAAATAAAGATCTACAACACTTTGCCTTTACTTTAGCCACTTAAGGACCTAGGTCAGAGGTCCTGAAAGCCCAGCTGTAGCTTTATTTCCGAATGTTGCTGTGTGAGGGTATATCAAAACACACCATTTGTTTTTTTTCAGTAAAAAGTGCTCCAAGCTAATGCTTAGCAACCTTTTCCCTGCATCATGCAAGAGACCCAGACAACTGTGGCCTGTGTGAGAACAGCACTTAAGATCTCAGCATTCTCACATGCCCCCTGTAGAATCACAAGTGCTGTGCCTCAATCAACACTGCTCACACTCCCTGAGCAACACTGTTAATTGGAGCATTATGGCGGGGGTATGTGGGAGCTCAGAGATCCGGACCACAGAGCACAGCAGTCGAGGTTCCATCATGATCCCTGGGAAGGGCTACTAAGCATTTTGTTTGGAGCACTTTGCTAGAAAAAAAAACCAATGAACAGTATGTTTTTATGCACTTTATAGCAACATTAAAAACTGAAGCTACAACTGATCTTCAAATGTTTTTAGAATTACAGACCCTCAATGAATTGCCCAATATGTGCCCACGCCCCCTTCATCAGACTCAAAATAAAAACCCACCAGGTACTGGTATAGTTTCAAAATATGCTAATAGCTTGGTTTTATTTTATATATGGATAGCTAGAAACCCACCAGCTAATAGAAAACCATAAGGATTTTATTAATATAAAATTGCATAACAAAAATATACAAGATAGTTAGAGTTATAAGATTTCTGCTGTTGGAATTAAGGCAGTTACTGGCAATACATATAATCTGACACATCACATTGATTGCTCCACATTTTCGGTTCAATAATACAGAGAATATTGTTTCAGCTAGCACTGAACATTCAGAGATCCTGTACTAAAACCCCGTCATTTGGTTCCCATACCCCAAATGGAATAGATACCACCTGTTAAGAACTCCTGGCCTAGGATGCAACTTGTGTATTCTTGAGTAATCATCTGCTGGGCAAGTGCACACAAACAGTGGTCAGGACAAAATTTCATTACATTCAATCATAAAATAAGTCAGCAACTCCAAAATGTCAATTCCACAAATGCAGCAATGAAGATTTTAGTTTATAAACTGAATTCATTTTAATAAACCAACTAAAAAGAGAGCTCTGAGGATCTGGGCATATGGTTAAAGGGTTATTAAACCCTCAGCGTGTTTTTGCATATATCTACTGCTAGCAAGCAGTAGATATATGCAACAACATTAAAAAAACACTTTTAAAAAGGGTTAAAACGTACCTGTGTCTTCGTCGCGTGCTCCCGTCCGAACATGAGTGTTAGGCGGCCACAAAGGATCTTGGGGCGGGCGCATGCGCACTTCAAATGTTCAGCCGGGAGACGAGGAGAGATACAAGGTAAGTCTATGGAGCAGTGTGCACCCGCACAGACACTGTGGGACATGAGAGAAGAGGAGGACAGAGGAGTCAGCGCTGGATTGGAGACCCGCACCAGCGCTGGTGGGACAGCTGAAAAGGGCAGTAAAGAAGAAGATGATCGAATAAAGAGACATCATTTAAGGCAAGTCCCTATAGCAGGATTGGGAAGGGGAAAAAAACATTTCTGACTAATGTCCCGTTAACTTTTGAAAAAGTAGCCATATGTGGATGGTTGGAAAAACACACAAAAACAAAAAAGTTACGCAGGTTAATGAGCAATCAGCAAATACCAGTATACCAGAAATGTGCAGTCAAGATGATCCGGACTATTATTACAAAGATAAACTCAAGGCACACAGCTAATACAAATACAATAGACTCTTTATCTGCCAAAATATTTGAAATTCTGCTCACACTATTTGTAATCCCGGCACTTGGCCATACAGCATATCTAGGTTGGTGACCTCACTTTTTTCTTTCAATTAAGTAATACATCTTGGTCACCAACCTACCACCAACCTGCTAAAAATGAAGGAGGAGCAGCTCTGGTGAGGTTAGACCTCTGCTCTCCCCTCTTGTGACAGAAGGGAGACTGTAGCGTACAATGCTCTATAAACAGTATATCTTGCTGCACTCCTTACCGCCAAAAAAAAAACTGGGTGGGTGCTTGTAGTGACCACGGAGGGCACCGTGTATATCATAGAAAAAGGAAATAATGTCACCAGCACACCATTTTTGTAAATCCCTGATCCATTTTAATGGCACATTGCCATCCAATACGAGCCTTAGATTTTAGAATGTAAATCCTGTGCGCATATGCTGGAGTTGCATCTTCACAGGCAATCCAATGGTTGGACAGGACAATGGGGGACCCGGATATTGCCATCCAATCTGAGCCTGATGAAGGGGACCCCTTGCGGCCCCGAAAGCGCTTGTATTGGATGGAAAGGTGCCATTAAAATGGATCATTGATTTACAAAAATGGTGTGCTGGTGACATTATTTCCTTTTTCTGTAGTGTACAATGAACTGGAACATGTTTGAGCAAGGACATTCTCTCTCCCAGTGCCCTACTGAGCAGGGGACGACAGGAGGCCAATATCAAATCAGATTAAAATACTTGTATGTAAAAATATGCTTATTTTTAATGAATGTTCTTCCTCTGGGAGGATGTAGCCGTACGCTGTCATACGCGCACATGAACAGCACATCCGAGCGGGTCTAGGTGTCCATGCTCAGATGCAGACAGGACCATCCCAGCTGCGTCCGAGTAAAGACACCAGGACCCGCACGGATGTGCAGCTCGGTTGTGCGTACGGCCGCATCCTCCCATAGGGAAGAACCGGCTGCTACATGCAGCACCTGTCCCTCCTGGGAATGGCCTGATACAGGCGTGCACGCCGTGTGGACCTGTACGCCCTGAGTTACCACAGTGTGAATGAGGCCAAAGTCTTTAGTGATTGATTATAAAGACTTAAAAAAACTGTGCGGGTAGTGGTAGCATATTAGACTTGCTCATCTTCTGAGCAATGAGTTTATTCATTTTTAATTTGTAATATTTAGCTATACTGCCAAAACATAGTCCTGGGATATTTTTTACAAACTTACATTTTGTTTCCCCTAACAGTGAAGCCATTCTGTAAATTGTAAGTTGTAACTGTTAAACAAAAACCTCTTGGAAGAGCAGATTAAAACACACAGAATAGAAAAGGAAAAGAAAGGATGTACCTCTTCCCAGGACAGATACAGAGGCCACAGCACTTGTTCAGCTCTGTAAGGTTCTTATCTGCCTCTCGCATGTCTTTGTTGATCTGGTCCAGTCCCTCCTCAACCCTCTTCAGTTGTTCTGTATATTACACAAGAAGAGTTCTGTTAGAAGAAAGTTTTACTTAGGAAGTCCAATAACAACCAGAGATCATCTTTCACTAATCTGACTCCAGAATGGCTATTATGGGTACTGCATGCTACATATCACTGATGCCCTTTGCAGTGCCCTAAATAAACCCATGAGACGTTGCTTTGCTGAGAATAAAGCAAATGAGCAAATCATTTATAACTGTTCTCAGTACTAAAAGAAATTCAGAGGCTTATATTTCTCAGAAGGGAAAGTAAGCAATGGCAGCCTCCATGTTTCCTAAAAACATCTTTCCATTAAAGAATGATTACATTGAAATCGATAATCACCAGTAAAGCGGAATTAAACCTAAAAAATCCAAACACTGCTAAAAATTAAAGTTGTGGGCAGAATAGACACACCAAGTCTCTTCTGCTACAAACAGCTGCTCCTAACTTCTACCAGTTGTACTTTCCTGTGTTCTACATGGTGCATGTATGCACCATCCAATGTACTACCCGGGTCCTTCCCAGCCTTTGCAGTGTGCTGGGCATCGAGTTGGGTGCAGAGGACAATGTACATCCTGTGCGCATTTGCAGGAGTTGCATCTTCACAGGCAATCCAATGGTTGGGCAATCCAATGGTTGGACAGGACAATGGGGGACCCGGAAGAAGCAGTGGAATATACGGCAGGCAGCAGCGGTGGTGGATGGAGTGGCACTGACAGAGCAGATCGGTCCACACTGGAGGAGAGCACACTTGTCAGGTAAGTGTGCCATTATGTGCTTTGCATACCTGCATATGGCAAGAGCCCACCAGGCAGAGCAGATTTACTTCCGCTTGAAAAAGGAACTTCATCCAAAACTTTTTGTTGCCCTTTTGTATAGAGCGGTCAGGTATTTGCTGCAGTCTCTCTCCATTTCAGAATATTTCCCACTACTTATAAAAGACCAAACGGTTCCCACTAATCAATGTCATTAAAGAGTCCCGTTAGAACACGTTTGTTTAATCCATGGTCAAAAAAAGCCAAACCCTTTGTATTTCCCACTACTTCCAGTCCCTGTAACTATGCTCTTAAGGACAGAAGTGAAAATCTCAGAAAAACGAAGAGCAGTAAAAAACAGATGGAAGTATACGGACCCATTTACACTTATGAGTTGCAGGAACGCATGGCAATGTGCCAAAAGAAATGGCACCGCAGTGCACTAAAGCAGCAGAAGGCAACACTCCTACACTGCAGCGCATCACAACGCACATGCTATGTGTTGTGGTGAGCTGGGTTAGAAAAAGAAAAGGGTCATGTTTCATTTTGGCTGCATTGTGGTGCATTGGCAGCCGAGTCAAAACAAATGGGCTAGCTTAGCGCAATATATAATTAGAGTTACAGACTGGACATTAACACACTGCATCACTAAAGCATGCATGGGCCCCAACCCGTCTTCACTCTATCGAAAATTAAGTTTGGGATGGATGGAGCTACACTTTAAGTCTATTCCCGCTGCAGGAGTGCTAATGTTTCACACCTTACACAGCCAAGAAATCTCCAGAAATCTTATTTTTTTCATATGTGAAACCCCCACCTCCCCATAGCTGGTGCAATTTTATCCAAGCCCTTAAAAATGCAAAATGGAAGCTCTAACTATAAATAAAATGTTGTACTTCACACTTCCTCAAAGTGCAGCAATATATATCATATAGAAACCTCAATTCATTCTAATAATAGCACAGCACATGGTGTCAACAAAAAACTATTTTTTACATTTCGCTTTTCGTATTTAGGAGAATATCACAAGACCATATGTTACACATTCAGTGTATAAATCATATATATAAAAATCTGACAATGTTCTTTTCATAATTTCAAAGTATTTCAAGCAGATGTTAACACAAAACAGTAAAATTTAATATGATCTTCAATATGACAAATCATTTCAAAAGTCATGTTTTGTTTTGAGCTGCAGCTTTCATTAAATTAACTGGTAACCCCGCCATATAGGTTCTTGTTAAAGAACTTTCTGTTATGGGGTGACAACACTTTCCTCCTATCCCCCTACTTCTATGTCATTGTTGTTCCCCCGTTACATGTATTAAAAGGCAGCCATGCTGACATTTCTTGTGCAGGCTTGTTCCACCATTGTCACCAAATCCGCCCTGAGCAATGACGTGTAGCTACCGCTGGAGGACAAGCATATAGACAGAAAGCAGCTGCAGAGGATCAGCACTGAGATGCAACAAAGGATTAAAATACGATGAAAGCCAGAATGTTATGAAGAAAAAAAAACAGCAATTTTAGTGATAGGCGGCGCTTTAGCAAACTAGATAAATTCCAGTTAGCGTTTACATCTACTTTAATGCCAAAACTTAAATAAAACCAAAAAGTAGAAGTGCACCGAAATAGAAATGTAAAAACCGAAACCGAAATAGAAAAAATTGTCAGGCCGAATAAACACTCAGCGATCACTGATCGCTCAGTGTATGTAGCCTGCTCTCCTCTCTGACACGCTGTCACAGGAGGCTGAGTGAGCAGTGCAGGGAGAAGAGCTCAGCCTCCTGTGACAGCGCTGTCTCCGCCCCCACACCGCTCTGCCGCACTGTGATAGGCGGCCGAGCGGTGTGGGAGGAGAGACACCGGCCGCTCACAGCGCTCTTGTCCCGCAGCGCTCGGCTGGCTGTCACTTTCTCTCCTCCCCGGTGAGACACAGAGCAGTGCCCAGCGGGGAGGAAAGAAATCGCGGATGCGCTGATGTATCGGCAGGAAAATGGCCCTGTCGGCATTTAGCCAAAAGTACCCTTTTCGGCCGATATGTTTCGGCGGCCGATATATATATCAGTGCATCCCTACCAAAAAGGGTATAAAAGTCCAACTCAACCCTCCCTACTACTGTAATGCAACCAGGCAGCATACACTAAAATGCTTCAGCAAGGGTTAAAATACCTGTGCTACCAACACATAGGAAAGTTGGACCGTTGCTCTCTCATGCAAAGCAGTGGCCCGGTCTGGCTGCTTAGGAAGCAAGAGCACTGTTGGGCAATTATGTAGGAGGGTGTGTGTTTGGGGCAGAGGGAAAGGTGGTGGTGCTGGTGGTGTTGCAGCAGTCTGATTATGTACTGGCAGCACACTGGCAACAGGGTATTCTACCCCACGGCCGTAAAGTAAAAAACAAAGTAAACAATTTCCGGATTTCCTATTGTATAGGACTGAATATTGGGAGTGTGTGCTTGCTCTCTTCATATAGCCAGACAGAAATGTATTTGTCTACAATGTGTTTTTATCTGTATTGGGGTCCTTCTTGTCCTCACCTCCTTGCTCATCCAACATGGTTATCGTCTTCACCCCGGTATCTTGACTCTAGAATAGAGAGATTTGGAGAAAAAAAACAGAATGTGAACGGCTAGTTTTGTTTCCTGACAGCCAAGTAGAGCATCCACATCTTATATCTAACTACAAGTTTATACTATTAAAGTGGACCTGAACTCAAAAAGTGAAATTTGCCATGTTATAGGGAACATCTAGAAATGTTAATTGCCCCTAAACAGTAAAATCTACCTTTTGTATGGAATTTCTCCTGATAAATAGAGCGCTTCCTAGTATAAGTGGGGCCTGGGCACTCGATAGCTGGATATCGGCAGTGTGATCCAAGACACTGCTGCCTCTGACTGCTAGTCTCACGAGATTTTAAGTGAGATTTAGTGATGCGTCTTCTGTGCCACCCACCGTTCTTGCTGGAGGCTCTGACTTTTCCTCCACGAGGATGGCTGCCTCTACACAAAGACAGTGCAGAACAAGGCATGGGTAGTCAATGGGGAAAATCAGCTGCAGGGAGACCACAGCCAATACTGTTGACCAGTTCCTGCATTTATGGGCACAGCTTTAAGGCCCCGTTCACACCGAGCGGTTTGTCGCGCGATTATTGCCACGATGTCGCGCATATTTCCGCGCAATATCGCTCTATGTAGCTTGTCCAATGCATTTCAATGGAGCTGTTCACATCTCAATGTCGCCTGTAGCTCGTCGCTGTAGCTTGTCGCTCGTACATGACCCCTTTTTGCGCGGATGTCGCGCGATTTGGTGCCAAGAGACTCTATAGTGTTGTGCGAAATCGCACATTACCGGCGATATCGCGCTAAAAGGGTCACTTTTGCACTGCAAAATGGAAGGAAAGAATTATGTCACATCAAGATCACTGTTGATTGGTTACAGCCCAATGTAGCAGCGGCGAAGTCCCGCCCAAAAAACACTCTACGTCGCGCGATAAAATGTGCAATGTCGCGCAATGTAGCTCGAAATTGCGCAATATCTATGTCGCTCAGTGTGAATGGGGTGTTAGAGTTCAGTTCCACCTTAACTGACATGTGCAGCTTAAAGTTCAGTAAGGTCAGAATTATAAGGTTATCAGGTTATAAATGCTGAAGAGATATCCGTCCAACTTCCTGTTCTGGTGACAATTGCAACTAGACAAGAAGTCAAAGGGAAACTTCTGTAATAGGAAACCAGCAGTGATAAAAACCTGCTGATGTGTTATAGCTTAGCCATGAAGTCAGGGAAGACCAGGCTCCAGTAACAAAGTGACACTAAATCGGAGCAATCAGGCACTCTGTGACATCTGCCATTAGGCAAGACTTTTTCCCATATATAATAGAATGAAGTGTCTGGAAAAGTCTCAGCCCCCGACATAAACAGACATTTTTCAAATGTTAAAAGAAACCTCTCATACAGGGGAACTGAACTCCCGTGTTTCCATTACTGGCATCTATTAGAAGTCAGGAACGAGTTTGTAAAGTATGAATGTTAATTGATGTCAAGATCTCCATCTCCCCATTAACTGCCCCTGTGCTGCCTTAAATTATAGTAACGCTCAATCCTGAAATGGCAGCGCAGGGAGAGCTCCATTGTGGAAGGTCCCAGTTACACTTTAACAGAAACCGAGATGCTGCAATTGCTGGCTTCTTATTCTGCATATGGCACCTGCCTGGATGCCATGCTGATCCGCTGGCTTCCATTCTTCGAATCACTAACCCAGAACACATATTCAGATAAAGATTTCCACATTACAGATCTGCATACTTGCTTCAGGTCAGGTTAGTGACTCGGGAAATACTGAATCAATTGGGTCAGTGAAACAGCCAGGCAACTAGCCTTTTCAAAATGTCAGAATGGCAGCATGCCTATTTCTCTTATAAAGGTTTTGTTTACAAGACAATATGATATCTTTTTGTGACACAACTGACAGCAATTTGTCTTTTCTTCAGAGATAGAGATTGGAGACAGTTGTTGTCTGACTGAATCAATGACTAACAGGGTTATCATCTTACCTCCTCTGCCAGAGCCAGAATCCGACGTGTACTCTCCAGAGACTGAAAGAGAAAAAAAAAATTAAAATGGAACTTTACAGACAGGGAAGACCCGAGTAAATCAGTTAACATAACATACGTGTCAATGACATTGGATGTATTACTACGTGTCAATGACATTGGATGTATTACTATCAGATGGATAGCTTTGTAGGTTTTGGAAACGTCTCGCAGCTTGTGGTATAACTACACTCACGCCTGCGGTGCAGTGCGCTCCATTTTAAACATGTTTTATACTCCCATTTCATGCATTACCATTCATCCCTATGGAAGATAGGTTTTCCTGGAAAGATGTATCTGACCAGGTGTTTGGATCTCATTGTAACAGAATGCTAAAGTGTAAAAGAAGGCTTTAAAAAAGGAGAACTATGGGGTTAAGGCTTTTCCCCATAGTTCTCCTTAGGGTAACGGGAGGACACAAACTAGCGTCCTCCCGTCACCCTAAGCTCAGTATACCACGAGCTACTGCTCACGGTATACTAAGACGCCGCAGCTGAAGCGGATCCCGACAATTATGTCTCGATCCGCCCAGCTGCGTGACTGACAGCTGGCTCTGCCTATCTAGAGGCAGAGCCAGCTGTACCCGCCCCCTCCCCCATCCGATCCGCCAGTCAGCGCTGGCGGATCGGAGCGGGGTAGAGGGAATCCAGCCCCTTCCCTGTCACGGCAGAGAGCTGTGACAGGATCGAGAGGTGAGCGAACGCCGGTATGTGTTCGCTCACCTCCCGATCTACTGAGCCGACCTGTGACAGTCTCATTGTCACAGGTCGGCTAGAACTATGAGGTGAGTGAAAAGCACTCACCTCATAGTTCTCCTTTAATATAGGGATGCACTGATACCATTTTTTTTCAAGTACAAGTACTGATACATTTTTGGTTATGGTCATGTGACAGTTTTTCTAAAACAATACAGACTAATGATTTCAGGACAGTGGTGGAGCGCCAGAGCCAGGTCCCAGCTGCAACCCTGGTAGTTCTTGTGAAAATGCCATGTATCGGCAGTGGTATCTGAACATCCCTACTTTGATCACAATACACTATAAAGCTATATAAATGTCAAATATCTGATATTCTGTGCCGGGTTAGAGACACCACATAAGATCACCAGCGAATGGGGGAACATACCGGGGACTTGATGAAAGAAAATAGGTAATAAAGGATTTATGTCATACTTCTTATGCACTATGGGCCGATCAATACATTAACTTTAATTTACTAATTGGTAACAATTATTATGTGCCAACAATTTCAGCAAAGAGCAGATAATAACATAGGAAGACAGGCAGCCATCATCAGTGTGTCTTCCCTGATCATCATAAGCTAAATACAGCAATTATTATAGCAAACAACACATGTTACGGTCTAGTGAATTGGCCCTAATGTCACTATTCTTTAGGAACATCGCTGTTCTGAAATAGGAATGGTTCTGAAAATATAAGAGCCAGCTTTTTGTTACTGCATTTCTGGACATGTCCAGTCCCTTCTTCAGACACACCCCCATGGCAGGTAGGAATCGGACTCTGCCATTGACAGATGTGAAGAGCAGTGTACACAGTGGAAATATCATGCAACACACATGCATGTCCATATTATTTACCCTTACCGATATGCTGAGATTATTTCATATTCTGCTTATACATACATATATATATATATATATATTTGCTCTACTTCCTTTGCCACTGCAACCTGGGATGTTGGTCTCAACAGCAGGGCTCCTTTTACCAAATACGACCCCAAATCCCTCTATTAATTAAGCAAAAATCCAGTACAAAGCAACAAGACGCTAGCACATTTCAATTATGCACACCTTGCTCACAGCTACCATTAAGGCTTGCATAGCCGAAACGCATTAGTGTTTTGTTCCTGTGATGTACTGGATTTTTGCTTTTAATTAATAAAGAGGAATTATGGACAGCGCTAGGACTCCAGCACTTTCACATACTCCGTTTACACAATCTCTTTAATTCTTAGCAAGCTGCTAGAGGTTGCTTGTTAAGCTTTCAAACCTCTTCAAGATGCTAACTGCAGACTCATTCATTAAATAGGTGAATTATTACCGAAAGAAGGAGCTCTGCAACAAGCATGAACAACCTCGTTCGTGTAATGGCCAGGAGTTCATGTACTGTCCTTCCTCCATTCTTGTCAGATGCACTGTGGGAACTCTTGGAACTGGATGACATAGGGGGCATACAAGCACACAAACACACAAAACACATACCTCATCTGTAACCTGATTGCCTCGAATTTGGATGTCGTCTATTGACATTTCAGCCATGGTGACTCGGAGGTTTGTGCTGGTTATGTTTGGTAAAAATGGAAGAGCCTTCCTTCAAATGCTGTTTAAAAACAAAACAATATATTTAGAATAAAAGACCACTGTTATATGTTGCACTATGCTGTGTACTTTTTCCTGTATGTAATATTCCCATTTTTTTAAAACAACTAGCTTAACAGATCAGTTCACCCAAAACAGACATTACAGATTTTGGTGTGTGTTGGAGAGTTAAATGACTGTCCAGATTTTTCTATCTCTCAGGAACTCTATTGGCAAGATATCAGGATATGCACAATGTTGTGCCCATTTTGAAGGGGTCCCATTCTCCCTGTTGGAGCTTAAATGTATGTTATATTATAGACAGGGGCACCACTAGCATTTTCACCAACTGAGGCAGGGGGTGTCAGTACGTGTTTGGGCCTCACTTGGCTCGGCTCTAGCCAGCGTCCGGCCCAGTGACCTCACTGGTTGCCAGGAGATGGTGGGACGCCGGCCAAAGCGAAGAGCTGAGCAGTGAGAGGTGTATGGTCCATTACACTCCCTGTCCGGCTCTTAGCAACTTGGGACGCTCTGGATGGAAAGGGGGCCGCCCCACCACGAAATGCCACCTAAGGCAACAGCCTCACACTGCCTCATTATAGGATACCCCGATTATAAAGAATGTAACAGGAGGTGGTAGAAGAAGAAAAGTGGGAGATCACTCGAAACTTCCTGGTGGAGAAAACAAGTCGGAAAATATGGCAGAGAGGTCGTTCTGTTGGATTTTCCAAAACGTATAAGCTAACTCAGCCCATCAGACTCCACCTGCACCTAGAATATCTCTTGTAGGTGGGCTCGCCCTTAAAAAAAACAGTTTCAGGGCAAAAGTTGTTCAAATTAATAAGAAAAAGAACTTAAAAGGATAAGAGACTCACAATATTTACCTCCAGAGAAAGTAATTAACTATGGCTTCACAGATACATGCTGCAGGCACGGTCACGCTGGCCCTGTTTTCTGGATCATTAGGAGATTTACACAGTGCACATGCACATCAGTCCCTACCCTCAAGGAGTTTGCAATCTAAGGTCCCTACCTCACATACATACATACATGGACGATTTAGACAGGAACCAATTAACCTTCCAGCATGTCTTTGGATTTTGGAAGGAAACCGGAGTACCGAGAGGAAACCCACGCAAGCCCAGGGAGAACATGCAAACTCCTTGCAGACCAGGCGGGATTTCCAAATTTGTGCTCTTTGCAGCCCCCTTGAAAATGACTATATTTGACACTTATCTCAACAAGATTCTTGAAAAAAAACAAAGTTAAAAAAAAAAAAAAGTTATGGACAGCACAGAAAAAAGTAAGGCCATGTGAAAGAAATAACCCAAGCCACCAGTCCAAGGCTCCTTTCCCACGCCGCTCTGATCTGGCCCGCCTGTCAGTTTTTTTAGGCAGACCTGATCAGAAGCTCAATATTAAATCTATGGGGAGTCGGATGTAAAAAGGAACCTCTGTCAAGCGGCGACACCGACAAAACAAAAACCGGTACAGAAAAAAAAAACTATTACCCCATCTCCTGATTACTGCAGGATAAACCCATGCACTGAGAACAGGAAGCGTGCTTTAGTTATTAATATGGAGACTATGACCAGACTCCCAGCCAAAGGAACGTGCACAGTGCGACTCAAACTATGTGATCTTCTAAAAGAAAACAATACTTCACTCTATTGAAATTATTAACTTCTTGATCACTGCCAGGATTTGAATTGGTAAACTAGACCAAGAGTGGTGTGAGCATGATTGATGAATCTTCCCGGCAAGAGTTCTATTCCTTCACAGAAATTGTAGCATAGATAAATATTTGGTTTGTTACCACAACAGGGAAGTCTGTTTGATAATTACTTAAAGCGACACTAAACTCAGGAATTGCATTTTAAAAATACATTCAAGTACCTTAACTATCAACAAAAATGCATCTCATCTTATTTTGTTTATTACTCAGCTGTAGATCCTCAAATCCTCTCTGAATTCAATATAAAGCAACATATGTAGGGATTCCAAGACTTAAGGTGCCCATACACCTTACGACCATCGCAAGACTTTTGTCTTGCGATGGTCGTATGCTTATTGAAAGCTTGTACGATCTGGCCACCTTGGACGGGCAGATCGTACTTGCGATCGTCGAAAGCCCGCCCGCTGAGGGGCGGGCTTCCGATTACCGCAATGCAGAACGGGCAGTGTGCGCACAGCGGCCCGTTCCGCAGCTATCGGACGAGCAGGCTAGAAACCCGCCGACACGATTCTCGGCGGGTTTTCGAGCATGTTAGTTCAACAAAAGACGTGCGACCGTACAGTAGAAACGGTCGCACGTCTTCGTTCACACTGCTCGATTCTCGTACGATTGAGGGATTTCGCCCGATTCTCGTACGAGAATCGAGCAGTGTATGGGCACCTTTAGCCCTGGTTCACACCTAGGAGTTTGTGAGCAGTTCGAAAAGCGCTTTTAAACTGCTCAACACAAGAAATTAGGGCTGCAACAACTAATCGACATAATCGATTATAATCGATTATTGAAAAAGTTGTCAACTTTTTCAATAATCGATTAATCGGATTCTGATCAGTTGGCCCTGTTCACGGCTCCACACACGCTGCGCACCGCACCTCCTCCCCAACTCACGCTCAACGCTGCCAGACCCGCATCCACGCTCTACACGCCGCACCTCCTTCCCGCCTCACACTCACCGCCCGCCCACATTCTCCATCGGCACAGGGACGCGGGGAGATGTAGTAAGGAGGAGCAGGTGTGGGGGGATGACAGCGGCAGATTGACAGGCCCGATCTCAGAAGCAAGTTGCTGGAAGACTGCTCAGGTAAGCCTGCACTTTCCCACACGTGGTGCTCTATAATGTATTGCTGGGATTTGTATTCCTCTATAGCTGATGGTACATTGTGCTGTATATTATACATGGGAATACAAATCCCAGCAATACATTATATACTGTATGTATAATGTACTATTGCTGGGATTTGTTGTACTCTATAGTTGGTGATATTCTGCACTGCGCTGTATAGAGGACTACAAATCCCAGCAATAATACATTATACAGCGCCATGTGGAATTCCACCAGCTATAGAGGAGCACTACAAATCCCAGCAATAATACATTATACAGTGGTGCACTGCCGAATACCACTGGCTATAGAGGACTACAAAACCCAGCAAGGGTACATTATACAGCGCAATGCAGAATACCACCAGCTATAATGTACTATTGCTGGGATTTGTTGTGCTCCTCTATAGCTGGTGATATTCTGCATTGCGCTGTATATTGTACTATTGCTGGGATTAGTAGTCCTCTATAGCTGGTGCAATTCTGCATTGATTGCTGTATAATTTTACACTTTCCATTTCACTATATTGCACACCACACTTTTTTTCTTTTTTACTTCCACCGCTCCAAGCTTGCTCCTGTCAATACAAACTAGTAGTCCATCACTGGAGCCATTTTTTAAAATGTATTTGATTGTTTATCCGATTAACCGATTAATCGAACTTAATAATCGGCTAACTAAATCGATTTTGAAAATAATCGTTAGCTGCAGCTCTACAAGAAATCCCATGATTTTCAATGGCCCTGGTTCACACCTGAGCAGAAAAACGCCAGACGCCTGAAAAGATACAGGAGCTTCTTGGGGCAGTTCAAAGCGTTTTTTCTCCCCATAGACTTCATTGGAAATGCCCAAAAACGTGCAACAGAAGCATGTTGTACATTTGCGTGAGCTTTTTTGTGCATTTACATACATGTTCTTCCATTGCCCACAATGGTTTATGAGCCGTCTATCAAAACGCGCGTCATGTACGTGCGTTAAACGCACAAATAACCACATGCTGCTAACGCACGTACAAACGTGCAAAAAAACAGGTGCCGCCTAGGTGTGAACCAGGGCTTATGCTAACTTACCCAGATATAGGATGCATCGAAATAGGAAATCAATGGGGCTTTCAAAGATGGCAAAAACCATAATCAAATCATCCACATCAGCCGAGTGATGCACAAATAAGATATATTTTGGTAATAGTTAAGGTACTTGAATGTATTTGTAAGATTTAACTCCTGAGTGTAGTGTCACTTTAAGCGATGACAGATTAAATCTGTATTGCAAGTCAAATACTTTTGTTCTTCCGATTCATGCCGGTTCCAGTTGGTCCTCATTCTCTATAAGCCATCACTTGGTATTACAGCACCAGCGTGGGAGGATCACAATATGTGCACAGGCTTCATGGTGGGAAGTCACTACTTCTGCTTTCAGGAAGTTATTTACCAAGTGCAAGGAAGCTCACAGTTGCTATAGTTAACTTTTAAAGATAAAGTTTAATCTGCTTATATTTTTCCCTACCTGGGGCCCCAAATCTACATATCAACATCATTTTTAAATAAAACTTCCAAGTTTTCAATACGTACCCAGCGATATCTTCCATGGGTCTCTGTGCTTCCCTATGCAATGCAGGTAGGTCACGGCTGGTGGGAGGGGCCAGCAGAGTGCTGTACATAGGTTCCTGAAAACACCACAGCACCCTGCCCCAGGAACGCCTCTCAAGAGCCCTCAGCCTTGATGCAAGCCAGTGAGTCTATGCGCATATATACGAGCGTATGTGCATATATGCGTGCACTATTGCCATTCCTGGAATGCATCATTCCTAATAGAAATATTAATGAACTGTCCGCATATACCCTCTTATACACGCGCAAACATGCATATGCGCGTAAAATACGCAGAAATACGCTGCCCGGATGCATCTGGGTTGCATTCTGTTTTAGCGCATTTTTACGCTACGCAAATATACGGCTCCATACGCGGCTATGTGTATGAAGCCACTTATTTGCATATGTTGTATATGGTACAATATGCACGTACACGCGGTAGTGTGAATGAGGCCTTAATGCATACCAGCTAGTGTTTAGGACTACTTTAAATCAGCTTCTGGCCCACGCTGTACAGGCCCAGAGTCCACTCCAAATTCATACACACACACTTTGCCATATAACACTGTCCATCCCATTGGTCCACTATGATACCT